TACCATTTTATTCCCTTCGATTTGGTGAAAATTAGACAAAGCCCACTTTTTTTTAGTGAACTAACGGTCAAATGGATGAAACCATTCATTTGGACCTCTGATACATATTTCTGAAAGGTTAGGGACCTTAATTGACACAAATTGAAGGTTATGTAAAATTTACAAAACTTGAAAATGTTAGAAATCACTGCTGCAATTTTCCCTAATATTAACAAAAAAAAAATTCGCTATTCATGTTAGTAATTTTCAAAATCTTAATTTGACGATTTGACCGCAGAAGTGTACATGAAATTAGTGGAAAAATCCTAAGACACTCATATAACAAGTATGTGACACATTGTTTTAAATTTTCATTTTAATGTATATGAGGAATACAAGCATTTGAACTTCTAAGTCCAGTCGAACTTCTTACCATTACTATCTGTGTGATGCATATCATAGTTTTTTACAGTATCGTGCTTTTAATATTTCATATCCAATAAAACAATTGTGTTGCCACATGTGATTATTGATGTGTAATAAGATGAGCAAAATTGTATATTTTATTATATAGTTGGCTTGTTATGAATTCTTACCAATGATATGTTATGTGGCTTCTAACTTGTCTCAACTTATTTATTAAAAATGAAGTGCAATGTCACATTACATAGATTGACATAATGTATTGTATGTTATATACTAAGCTTCTCGACTTTAATAGCATGTTATAAAATGTGTACGGTTACATATTACAAATGATACTTATTTGATAATATTTATAACATTACGTATTACGAAGAAAGATATTGCTTTAGACAGGTTTTGCATTATTTGATTGCTATAATATTCTACTTTGAATTATTACACATAGAGAGTACTTGCAAGATTGTGAACATTCGGCAAAAACCATTCAACTGAAAATATAATTGTTATTTCAATCACTATCTTAATTGAGCATCAACATTTATAATAAAATATATAATCAACTAACTAAATCTAGGGGGTGCAAATTTGGCTCGGGCGGCCCGGCTCTTGGTTCGGGCTGAGCCCCATTTTGGGGGTGTCGGCTCGAGTCCGAGCCAACCTGTGTCACAGGGCCATTTTCATCTCATAACGAGTCGAGAATCAAAAAAAAAAATGTTGAACGAAAATGCACGTTAAGGTAGCCAGTAGCTGCTTTAACCTATATTCAAAATTTTAAATTTCAAAATAAATAAATAAATAAATAAATTGTCATGAATTTAAAACAAAAAAGTGAGCTGACTCGGCCCGGCTTGAGCCGAAAGCACTATATGAGCCTAGATTTTTTTGGCCTGACTCGGGTAAAAAAAAAAAATCGAACCATTTTTACTTGAGCCGAGCTCGAGTTTTGAGTTTCGGTTCGCAAGCCAACTCGGCTCGTTGACATACATAACTAAATCTCATTTCAACATAGAAGTTCTATCTAGAGAATCAATTTCGCTAATAAAATCTTAAAGAACCATACTTAATGGAATGACGACAACACATTCACGAACAATAGAATGCATGTAGGTTTCGCAAACAAACATATGCTAACAGCAAATACAACATGATTTGGAAAACTATGAGAATTTATGAAATTGCAAAACTAAAGAAACAAAATTACATGAGACTACAATTTAAAATTGAAACGTTCTAATAAATTTTATAAATTTCCACCTTTTTTTGTGTGTGAGAGAAATAGTCAGAGAAATACATAGCGAAAAAATACCGAAAATGTATATCATTGAAATTAAAAAAAATCAATTGTTTTCTCCAAATTAAAAATTTCCGGTTCTATATTGCAGAATTTTTGGTGGAAAAGCAGAAAAGATAAGGATTTCAGCTTTTCGGAGATTGGGGATTCAATAATTAATACTATGAAAATTGGATTGAGGAAGATAATAACACAAATTGGATGAGGTTGTGCCTGAGATTTAAGAAGTATAAGAATGGACGGTTTTGGGAGTAAATTAGGTTTCCAGAATTTAAGGATGAAATGTGGAATTGGATAATGGATAGGATTTATTTGTTTTGCACTTCTATTTTTCAAATACACTATTTTTTTTTTTAGATGGGACAAATA